CATTGATTGTTCGTTAACCTTTTTAATTGTTTTGCAATGCCATTATAGACGGGATGTTGTACCTGCAGTTAGCGGTGTTAGTGGGCCCTTAGCAAATTGTCCGTGGGCGCCGTCTCACCTTGGAAGCGAAGCCAGTTTATTGTTTTATATCGTTTATCCCAAATTGCGCTTGGGAAGGGTAAAGCACGAAATATGGTAATAAGGATTATGAACAAGGTTAAATATATAAAGAGTAAAAATGGCCAAGTGCGAGTCGTAGTTGTGGTTGTAGAGTTCCATTACCATTGCCTAGCTAAACAAATTTCTCATTGTAATCTTTTATTTTTAGTAAGGTAGAGACTAGGCACTTGAGTATTGAACGTTTGATAAGACGTTTACTAAGACGATATCGTTTGGAAAATAGATTCTGTAAGGCTTTCACGGCCATCGTTCAGCATATCGTTGTTTTTTGGGCTGTAAGGCGTGAGCGAGAAGAGGTAGAATTGATTTTTCGATCAATCGAGGAGGTATACTACATCTCCTGATGGTGCCGTCCACTCGTGATGGTGAAACGTCAAAAACCTCTTCTCGCTCACGTCGGCCGAAGAGCCTGAAAAACAATGCTATGCCGAACAATGAAAACAAAGATAAAATATGGTAAATATATCGTTTTTTGTATGAGTTCTTTGAATATTTCTTGATTTTTTTATTTATAGTTTAAATAATTTGATACTTTAACCTGTGCCTCTATAGCAAAAATAACACCAAAATCTTGTTCATTGTATGGTATTTATTTATTGGGGAAATTTTAACTCTACTTTTGAGATACAGGCTAGTAACAGACATATTAATTACCTGTCTGTAAATACAATATATCAGGACATACATATGCGTTCGTCCCATGCACCACGGGTTTAACTAGTATTAATAAACGATCTACTTAGACACACTTATCGGATTAATGTTCGGACCGGTTTTATTCAATGTACCCATTGTAGGTAATTTTCAATAATGCGCACGACGATAGCTATTGAAAACAGGAAAGCATTATATGTTCGTTGATAAGAGACCTGTCAGTGTTGCTCTTATCACTTTCTTTTCGGAATTAAATTAGTGCCTTGTACGACCCACTTTGCCAATTGCTTACTTTGTCATAAGAAATCATATAGGTATAACTATTTAGCTGGCCTGGCGAACGTTGTTTTGCTATTATATTATGGAAAATCGTGATAAGATACGTGGTTTGAAAAGTGTTAAATAAATAAAACACTAACGGTTTAAAACGCGGTATATATTAGTTAAACCTATTTGAAATTTATTTTAACTACGGCCCGACGTTTCAGATGTTTTGCAGCAGCCGTAATTGTGTCCCCGTGACCACGTTGAAGTGTAAAAAATATATTAGTATGTGTTTCAAAAAAATCTGAAAAGAAAATGTAGATAATTTTATGTTCCGTTAAATTAAACCACTTTAACGATTTAAAACGCCATATATATTAGTTGAACATATTTAACTCTTAACTTTGAGTCTTCCACGGCTGCTTCAAATAATTTTCAAATATTATACCGTATTTAAATAGAAAACAGTTATTATTAATAAGTGTCCTTTGTCTTAACATTTTGTTGTGTCATAAAATGGTGTGGAATGATACGTCACTTAGTTGCATGTCGACTAATTATGTCACAGGTATTTCTTGAGCGTGCGCCAATAATGTGCATGCTGTATGAATTATAAACACTGCTTTATTTAACTAGCATCCGTGGTATCTGGTGATACCACGGATATCTGTACCATAATTATAGTTATAAATACATGTTGTATGTCTGTCTAGTGTAAAATTAGGATACACAATAACGCGAATATAGACTCTCGGTTGTGTAAGATCATAATATTGTGAAGATTACACACTTAATTCATAATTCTTTCTTCGACAGATTTTATAAACATTAACAAAAGCTTATTTTTATATATAATCCTTTTAATAATAATAAAAGAACCTTATCTTAAATCCTTCCTGTTTCATATCAGCTAAATAAACTACACTAATACACTTATATGTATATTCCTGAAAATATTATCTATAATAATATTATATTTGTGTAAACGCGCTAATCTCAGGAATTGAAGGTACTGTAACAACATACTTAAACTAATATAAGCAAAGAAACAAATTGATGTCCAAAATAAGTATTCCACGCGCACGAAGCCGCGGGCACAACTAATTTCTTGTATAGAGTATAAACATTCGTAATATGATATAATGTGAAGATGTGAGTCAAGTCTTTTGTGTGTCTGTTGAGATGCTGTCCGGAAGGTACCGTTTAGATCTCATTGCATTGCTATTTCCCATCCTATCGTACCGATGACAATGACCCCCACCAAGTCCTACGTTAATTGCGGTTTATCCTATGTGCCGGTTGGCGTAGTGGTGTGAAGTGTCTCTGGGCCCAGTTCCGCGTTGATACAATCAGCACTTCAATTTTGTACAGTCGGAGTAAATAAACGCTTATCAATTTGTCTCTGGGATATATTATATTTATATTCGGATTTTTAGAGGAGAGAAATTTTTGAAGTCGATCTATTTAAGTTTAATTTTATAAATGCGTTTAGTGTTTTTTTGTTCATATTACTACACATATATTAATCAAATAAATTAATATTTCTTTTCACAACCTGCTTTGATATTTTTTTATCGATTTCATTCTGGACACTTCATTAAATTATTATCTTATATGTTAAAATTTTCCTTTCTAATTATTATTGTCAAATGATGGTACCGGGGTTTGTCCTTCTATAAGTTACGTAATAATTTATTAACATGTCGCAGTTTTTTGCCCCGACTGTACACAGATAAAATGTGGCTCGTGGGTGTGACAAGGGAGAACCTGTCATCCTTTATTGCGTTTAACTGAGCATTTTATACTGCTATATCAAGATGTTATGATTCACCGTTTACCGCGTTGCATTTGTTTACTTTGCAGTTTCTTTGTCTAGTAATGTGACTAAAGAGAATTGTAAAAGATTGCACGAACTACTAAACAAGTGTGTTTGGATTAAATAGATGATTTTCCACCTGCCAAAGCAGTTGTAAATTCAATAATTTAAATAAAACACTTTAACGGTTTAAAATGCGATATATTTGTTAAACTTACTTATTTGAAAATTATTTTTAGCTACGGCTCGACGTTTCGGATGCTTTGCAGCAGTCGTGGTCAAGGGGAGACACGAAAGTCGCGTAAACTATAGACAGTATTTAACTCAATAATTATATTTTTCTTATTACTTATGTCATATTTATTTATAGAATTTGTCTTACATGTTTAAAGAAGAGCCACTTTATGAGTCAGTTTAAAATGAAAGAGAATCCCTTAAATGTGATACGAAAGTTGTTGCCGAGAGGCAAATTCTAACTATGCAACATTTCAACTCACTTATTTACTATTCTAAAAGATAGAATTAAAGCGAATGTACGGTAAAATACCACAGTAACAACTAGATTTACCAAGCACAAAGTCATTGTGACGTCACGTTGAACTTTGAATGCGCAAGAGGCCGTTCCATATCAAAATGTCAAATTAAAGCTCACAGAGGGAGCCCTTGAGTGTAATAACGTTGCACTAGACCGCCCGGTGGCCACTTGGCACTTGCAAATTTATTCGTCGCCCGTCCGAGGCCTGTCCACTCAAATCCTGTTCCATTTGACACGCTCTGAATGTCATGCGAGTCTTGACAGCTCGTTGGATTTTGAAGAATGGCGCCGATTAATTGATTTAACGGTTTAGTAGTGGCTATAGGATTGCATGATGATCGTATGATGTTCACGGAATAAATAAAAAGTGTTATATTGGTGATTGGAGTATGTAAATTAAGGCTGTAATTTTTAATAAATATATGTATATTATATATATATATACTTTTTTCCATTACTTTAGGTGTTCTTCATTAGTCTTTTTTTCATCTTATCGGTTTAAAATATATTAATTTATCTTAAAGATATTTTGATATCTTCATAGGTAATATCCATCCATAGGTCATATTTCCAACATCATGATGTTTTGTAAACGGTGTAATTAAATGTTTATTACTACTGTTGAGTTTTAAATTGATTTATATTGGGTTTTTCTTAATATGTGTTGCTAATTTATTTCTGATAATTCTAAGTTAAAAAAATTATAACTTTGTGAAATTATTATATGTGGATGTTGTTACTTATATAAGTTTCAAAATTGTAAACATATGAATGAATATTTAAAATGTATTATTTCTTTCCTATTTTATTAAACAATGATTTCTGGATACCTTTCAGATAAATAAAATATACCTAATTAAAGCCAAACCTGGAAGTGCATAGGTATAGGTACCGCGTTTTAATTTAAACATTTCTTATAAGATTATTTTTCAATATTGAATGAAACACATGTTTACGTTTTCCTCTCGATACAGTTACGGCTTACTACGAACGTGTGAAATTAAATAAGTAATTTGTTGGACTCGGTCCAAAACGATCTTGTTTAGAGCATTGCAATGTATCGCAGATATGTATTGCGCTATACAGTTGTACTGTGTTGTTATGTGAAAAGTATGTAATAATGGATAAATACGCATGTTTTAAGCGAGTAGTACATCAAAATAAAATACTTCTAACGGTTTAAACGCGAAATTTATTAGTTCTAGGGACGTAGGTAAAATCAATTTAGAATAAGATAACTAATATTTTTCTTGTTTTAAACCGTTAAATGGTTTATTGAAAAGGGTGTATATTTCTAATGCTTCACGCTTATTCTTAGATCTGATTGTAGGTGATCTTTGAATTCTTTATGTATGTCAACACACAGTTACAGTTCCCATTGCTGAGAGGTCACCTCCCAAAAGGACCTCCAAATGTTGGTAGATAACATACGACGATAAATATATAAATTCAATTTCTTGCAGTATACAGTCATAGACGTTTTTTTAAAGATATAAAAGATAATTATTTAGTATTTATTACCCGTACTAACACACGATTTTCTCATTCCAGAGTGACTCGGTGAGTTATTTCTTCGGCGAGCTGGAGCGCATAGCGCGGCCGGATTACATCCCCTCCCACCAGGACATCCTGCACTGCCGGAAGGCCACTAAGGGCATCTCGGAGTGCACCATCCACATCAATAACGTACCTTTTGTGTTCGTCGACGTCGGTGGACAGCGGACGCAGCGTCAAAAGTGGACGCAGTGCTTCGATTCCGTCACGTCCATACTCTTCCTTGTGTCTTCATCGGAGTTCGATCAAGTGCTGTCTGAAGACAGGTAAGGAATACCTTCCATGCATGTAGTACATACGCACACACAAACGACCACATACGTACTATCGTATATATCTAATACCAGCTGTGTCTGCGACTTCGTCCGCTTAAAGTTACTTTGGGCATCAAATTTTGTATTTTTACAAACCTCCTCTTCATCTTTATAAAATTATCCACGACATCGGTCACGTCCCGTCGTTCTTGCAAGTTAATCTTTAAAGATAGACATATAGTGTCGCGGAATTTTTTTTAGATCATTTAAAGAGGGTTCATTCGTTTCTTCTTTTTTGGTTATTTTGAAACGTTTTCGCAGCGTACACATCGGAAACCCACAGAGATTCTAACCGTTCCAAACCCCCTTCTTTCCACAAATATTTTTGTTCAATTCGAACTAGTAGTTCTTGAGATTAGCTTGTTCAAACAGACAAACAAACTTTTCAGCTTTATATTTTTAAAATCGGATATACAATTGTATTATGTCCATGCTTAAAAATCTAAATAGATATGATAATAAGGGAGACGCTAGTAGCTTCCTGCTTCGCTGTAAATTTAAATAATTTAATACTTTGCCGCAAAACTTGCGTAAGAGCAATTATGTTCATTGCAAGAGCAAAACAGGAAGGCAAAAATCTCAAATTGTATTTATTACATCTCATTTCGAATGGAGTTAATTATTCGATTGAACGTATCATTACGATAATTTAATTTTAATTTTATGCGATAATTAGAGACACATAATACTTTAAGTTAACATTTTATACATTTCCTAAATGGCGTATAAATTTCCTACGATTTGTATACAAAATGTTAACCACTAAGCCATTAAAAGTAACTGTTTAAATTGAAAATGTGTTTTTCCATTCATTGTTAAAACGTCCATAAACTGTCTGAAGATAGTCTGAGTGGAGTGGCATTTTCTCCAATTGAGACCTGGATAATAGCTTTCCTCTGCTGCGTGGCTCGCGTGCATCATGCAACTTTGTTAGTGCTCAAGTTTTTGGTAAAACTGTTGTGGTCTATCTACTTTTACACGATTATACATAGCAACGCAAAAATCTCTGTGAATAAATGTGTAATGTTTAATCGAAGCTCGTGGAAATATTGTCTCTGGTTGATGCGAGCAGTACACATTTAAATAAAACACTTATAACAGTTTAAAACGCTAAATATATTAGCTAAACTATTTTCAATTTCATTAAATTACGGTATGACGTTTCAGGTAGTTAAATTTGAAATATGTAAACTTCGTGTATTTGGCGTTTTAAACCGTTGAAAGTGTTTTATATAAATATATATATGTTTTTCAAATTAAAGGCACTTATCTTTACTATAATAAAATAAATAGTTTAAGTTTAATATCCGTTGGTTATCTATATATACCCGTTTTTAAACGCTATTGTACGGTTCTTTTTACAGTTTTCACAAATAACTTACCTTGGCGTAAAGTAATATTGAATTAAATCATCTATCGTGTCGTATAAACAAATATTTGATTGGTGACGAGATTAATATCTTTACCTTACTAGAAGCAAAATAAATATAATAATTTTAAACGCGAACTATATTAGCTAATTAATATTAAATTACGACCCGAGGTTTTAAATCATTAGTAAGATGAAGTCTCGAAAAATCGAATATATAAGACAATACAGGAATTTAGTAGCTATAAATAAATTGGTAATTTTATGTCATCGAGGAATTAATTCCGATACAATATCACTAATATATTGATGTAAGTAAATGAAGTGCATTTGTATGCGCAAGCGCATGTATTACTAATTCGCATCCGTCGCTTGCGCGTGGACACAGCGCTTAATCAATTACTCGTGTCGGTCATATTAATTGTTCTTCGGTGATCGCCTCTATCAAAATTATCACGACGATGGTAGGTAGACGAGGATGGTAGGCCTTATAACATCTATACAAGATGCGCTGCCTATTTTGGCTTTGGATATTCAGAAATCTGTAAACCTACCACTTATTTAATATCCAGATCTTCATCTTCATCTGGACATGTTTCAGAAATATTATAAATCGATAAGTAAAATGTTGGACTCACTACTCAATGAATGTTTGTTTAATAGAAGGTTAAACTTTAGATATCTATACATATTTTTTACGTATTTAATTATGATCACAATTATTTTATTCTTAACTTGTTCTTGTGTCTCGGTACCTTCTTGAAGTGTGGAAATACCAGCAAGTTTCCTTATGTACGCGTCGCAACTTATGCATGCAAATTATTTGAGCAACATATCAATGAAATGAGAGTAAGCTATTCAAGTCCTTAATACGTGTTAATAACGGGGAAAATCCATTGACCATTTTTGACTGTGGACAGACATGCTTCACTTGAAAGGTGAAATGCCTCCTATAAAATCATAACAAGAACCTTGGACAGTTGGAAATCCAGTCTAAAACCAAAATTAAACGACATTACGTTCTTAGACAGTTTTAGATGACCAGGATGGGATTCTGATGTTGTTTCAACCAATTTAATGTAATCTGTATTGTGTGTCACCCGGGTGAGCTTCCGTCCAGCTCTTCTAGCTCCCACCCGCATTGCGGCGGTCCAAGCCGAGGCCGATACCCCCCTCGGGGCACCCTTGGTCTAGCCGCAAACACGGCGAGCGCTGTCGCGCTCGCCCAAAACGCCCGGTTAGTATTCGTGGCTCCTTAGGAACACAATACGTAAGAGGCCAATCAAAAAAAAAATGTATTGTGTGTCAAGACGGTGACTACATGGATTCGAATCGGCCATCTATTCAAATTTCTTATTATTTTACCATCGAGCGATAGAAAATGTCTAGATAAAAAGTACTTTTAGTAATAATTTATATACTTTAAATAAAACAAAAACTGGAAAGGGTGTTTGGAGGTACCCGTTCTAACAAAACTAAATATGTAGTGCACTTAAATATGCGAAGATTAAAATGAAACTTGGCGATGAAAGGAGTGACGGCGAGTTTCTTGCCAGTTCTTCTCGTTCGTTCTACGCCCTTGATTTGAGAACTGGTAGTAAATGTAAATTTAAGTCTTTAATTTTTAAGTATCGTGACGTTTATAAGTGTACCTAGTTACCCACGTGAATTAATGATTTTTGACTTGACCACTTAGGTCTTAGACTTTTAAAATACAAAGTACCTTCCTTCAGACCAGCACGAACCCAACGACTTAAAATCACAATAATAGACACTGTCGGTAGTTTACGCGAGTAGTACACATTTCAATGAAAGACTAACTGTTTAAAACGCGATATAGCAGGCGTCTCCCCGTCTCCACGGCTGCTGCAAAGCATCCGAAACGTCTGGCCGTAAAATATTTCAATTAGGTTTAACTAATATACAATATCGCGTTTTAAACCGATAAAGTGTTTTATTTGAATAGGAATAGACACGTTTCATTATAACATTGCATTATATGAATACATCAGTAATCGTAAATTCCAGAAACCTCGGATTCCGGCATTCGCCACAATCTCAAACGTTTCACACTCGTGCATTTCTTTCATCAATCGTTTTTAATAATGTTTATTCATCGTGGAATCGCATAAAAATTATGGCTCTCGGTAAAAATATACATCTAAGAGGTGGATAGTGTTTCGCTGTGATGTCGTAAAGTGAGTAATAAAGTTCTTCACTAGATGTTTACGTAGGCAACCGCTTAACGTGTAGCTTGTTAGGGGTATCAAATCTGAAATGCAACGCGCATCAAATTAAATCAGAAATCAGTTTGTCTTTATGTTAGATGAGGACAGACGAGGTTCACTCGATAAGTGAAATACTCCAGCTATATAAAATTTGAACAGGGTGCGCTGTCGACCCATTTTGACTTTGTATATTCGGAAATCCACAGGCTGTAACCGAAACGCGTGACCCTACCACCCATTTCATAGCCAGATATCTAGACCAAGTCCAACTTATTTCAGAACATTTATAAAATGTTGGACCCGGTGGGGATTGAACCACCAACCCACGACCCCGACGATTATTAGCCATACATTCCATTATACCAACGAGCGCGTAAAAATTAACGACACATTTAAATAAATACTGTCTATAGTTTACGCGAGTAGTACACATTTAAATAAAACACTTTAACGGTTTAAAACGCGATATATTAGTTAAACTTATTTGAAAATGATTTTTAACTTGGCCCGACCTTTCGGATGCTTTGCAGCAGCCGTGGTCACGGGGAGACTAAAGTAGTTTAGTCCATTTTCAAATAAGTTTAACTAATATATCGCGTTTTAAACCGTTAAAGTGTTTTATTTAGACACATTTAAATATTCATCAGGTCAATATACTTAGGTTAGAAATATTGCACTTTGAACAGTTTTAATAACAAATTAACTATTAGTATAGTATCCAAAACGTCAGGTAGTTAATGATTTGTTACCTTATATATTTCGCGTTTTACATTGTTAAAATTATTTATTTAATGTGCCAAACTTACACCGCCATCTTGCGCATACTGTCAATTTTAAGCAAAATGTCGAGTCGCCCTGCACCCGCGCAACTCCCTTTGTCGCAACTAATACCTGCCTTTTGTGTTCTGCGCAACCATCCGCGCTAACTTCAGCCCGGCCAAAAAGTTTGGAGAGCACTGTTCTTCCGGTAAAATTGTACATCCCTAGTATAAATAAGCAGATATATCGTAATTAAATGTGGGCACACAGTGTTGCGAAACCGCGGTGTCAGGCTCCGAACCGTGACTAATCGTAAGGCATGTAAATCTCGGTGAAACTTTGTAAATGTCATGTGACATTTTACTACTGGAGTTTTCGACTCTTGCGCATTTAAGACCAACCTAAATTTAACCCACACATATTCTTTGTTTAGTTTAACACTACATCATACAGATTTGACGTTATTGTTGATGTCTTGATGTTTTGCTAATTGTACAGTATGACATATTTTCAATTATTCACTGCCTCAAATACCACTAATGTTTTCTATACAGTACGCAATATTAGCCTTTATAACAACAAAAATGTACATAAAAGACAAAGCACAACACTTCCTACAAATCTTTTTAAATTATAATAGTTCTGCTACACCCATGTGAATAATGCTAAAAGTCCGGGCGATCAGTTCACACCGTCTGCTAACCACTTCACCCATATCCCCTCTACGGAGGTCATTGGGCTAACCGACTCTGACTGTGTGCCTTTATACCTTCCGGTATCTTTGTAGAATCTTAACACGCCACTACGAGTAGATTTTATGTAAAATATAGTTTTTTGATGCCATTCGTTGTCATTAATGAAACATTAACATTAATGACAACAAATGGCATCAAAAAAATCACATCATGCGAAATACAGATTGGAAAAAAAGGAGTTTTCTGGGTTTTATCTCCTTGGGATGGTCAGTATGTGTAATTATAATAAACCTTTTCTCTCTCTTAAGCCTAAAATTATGGCTTCTAGTATTAGGGTTCTATGCGTCGTTAAATTATGTCTGATTAAGCCAAAATGTCATTTTGCAACACTCCGCGTGTGTTCAATCGTTTCGATTTTCCATTGTCTTAAAGAAAACGTGCACAATCATACCGGCGCTGTTTCAAAATATTAAAGACGCTAATACATTTTAATGTTTCCGTTTTATAAATGTTTCCGAACGATTACGGTTCTCGTGTTTTGGTTAACTATTTTTAGATTTCCGATTTAGAAATGCGTGTTTTTATCTTTAAACAGCTGACAGGTAAACACCAAGTATTTTCTCGCTTGTGTGTTGTTTTTCGATTAAAGTCCCTCATAGCTCACGTCTATATTTTAAAGTTAGTCTCTTTTAACGGCTAAACTGTTTTCTATGGTGTTTAGCACATAATGTTATTAAAAATGAAAACTTTGAATATTCCAAACGCGCTACGACTCCAAACACCGTTTTTTAATATTCAATAATGATTTCTTCTAAATTCTATTACAACCTATCAGAAGATAGTCAAATATATGAGAAATACGACAAAATATTACCAACATACAAAGTATGTTTGTGTTGTTTTTTTTGTAATAAAAGGATGACTGACTAGTTTTGAACCCACAACGAAGAGCTTCCAAGCGTTGGTGTAAAGGTATGTATGGCTAGTGATCAACGGGTCGTGGCCCCACCGGGGCCTACATTTTTCTAATCCATTTATAATTTTCGGAAACATGTTGGACTTCGCCCGGTAGGATTATTGAAATTCCGAATATCCAAGATATTCGGAATTTCAATAATCCTACCGGGCGAAGAATTAGAGTAGGAGTGATGTGAGGTGAGAGTGTTGCGGCAAAGTAGCACTTACAACTTAGATTAGTTGCCTTAAATGCGCCGTTATTTATAAACAGCCTAAATAATTATAAATTCTACCCCAAGTCACTATTCCACGCGGACGAAATCGCGGGCACAGCTAGTCATAAATAAAAGGAAATTTCTTAATCATTGTATACACACTTCTGGTGCAATTTTTTCATACCTTGTTTGTCTGTTTATTTAAAGAACTTACTAAAGAATGTAGTTCACCAATAGCTATACAAGGCGTAAAGCCGACATACCGGCTTCCTCGTTACAAGATAATTCGTTCGGAGCACCAATTAACCGCAAGTGGAGCAGTGAATGTGCCAGCGTGACTTTCATCTCGATCGAAGCGTCAAATGCGATCCATTATTTTAAATTGATAGAGATAATTTGACCGCTGAACGCGCACTTTGACTTCATTAAGGTACGGTCGGCAAATTGGATCTGCTACGATCGGTTTGTAGCGTGCGCATATTTATTACGTTCAGTTAGTATCATTTATGTAATTAATATCTATTTTACTGAAGATCTAACCTTTTTGAGCTACCGTGTCCGACGCGTCATCGGCGAACACCTATTGACACATGCACCTCTCCCGCAGTGTAATTTCACCCGTAATACTGACCAGCTCAGTTGTCGCTGTGGTCATGGATTCGATTTAAGTCCGTGTCATCGATTCCTTTCAATGTAAAATGTTTTTTTTTAATTTAATCTCAAATATAATCGTATAGAAATTAATATCTCGATTCTTATTTGTAATATGCACATAATTTACTTACTCATCTAGATTAAAATTAAAGGCTGATACACAATATTGAGAAAGCATAGAATATAATATCTTTTATTAAAATGATACAAAATTTACGGCTCCCGTTCTAAATACTAAACATATGTATGTATATATTCTAAATTTATTGTGGTAACTCTTTTGTTTCAACCGGTGGCACCTGGTTGATGTTGCTATCTATAGAAATCTTGAATACATTTTCTCAATATATGTATGTCCTTTGCCCTATGATATCATTACCAGAAGAATATAGATTCACTTGAGGTAACATATTGCAACTAATGTACCTATCTTATGATTAATCATAAGATAGGTACGCACGATATAATACAATCAAAAGTTATAATAGTTATTAACGAAAGTAATATGTACAAATAATCATTTTCAGAAAAACGAATCGCCTAGAGGAAGCGCTGAACATCTTCGACACAATAGTGAACAACGTGAACTTCAAGGGCATCTCAATCATCCTCTTCCTCAACAAGTCCGATCTCCTCGCGAGAAAAGTCGCGAGCAAAGAGACGGACGTACGCTGGTACTTCCCCCAATACACTGGTGACCCCCACAACCTGCGCGAAGTGCAAATGTTCATACTGAACATGTTCGCGAACGTTCGCCGAGAACCAAAGACGACGCTCTACCATCACTTCACGACCGCCATAGACACGCACAATATAGAGGTCGTGTTCAACTCTGTGAAGGACACGATACTCAATCGAAATCTAGAATCGTTGATGTTGCAGTGACGTAACGAATAATGTAGACTATATGTGATACGAATATGTGACTGAAGGACCTTTGTTGGGCTACTCTTGAAACTGGATAGTTATAATTAAGATGAAATTCGTGAATAACGATGATAAATTTTACAAAAAAAAAAAATGAAACATAACCAAACAATTTATTTTCATTGTTATTTTCAAACATTAACTGGGAGGATTAACAGTGGGTCCTGAGATATTTTTTTATTATTGTATTACATTGCGATAAAGTATTTGTACTTTTGATAGCTACGTGCAACTTCAAAAATCAGTTCTAAAGCGATGTTTAGTTTCAAGGGACGGTCCGCAGTTTGTTTAATCTGTTGTAGGCATAGAGTGTAAAAGACAAGGATAGGGCATCGGCCTACATTTGTAGATGTTGTTAATGCACGATTTACCTGTTGTAATTGTAAAGTATATCATATTGTAATGATAAAGTTTGTATATCAGTATATTTATGACCAAATACATAGATTTTGCACTCGATAAATTATAACACACTTTTGGATGTATTTATATATAACGCTTTGTACACGTTTTCATACGAACAAGGTATAGCGTGTAGAGGTTGTCTCTTTCTCGCGTAGAATAGGAAAGGGACGAACGTATGTTTGAGCTTCAGAAGCGAGAACGGTATAAACGTAGTTTGTATTCAGCATTTATGGTGTATTCCTAAAGACCCTTTGAACTGCCATTCGGGAATAAAATTTGTGCCAATACCTGGGATAATTGTATTATTGGACTCAAAGACGACAGGCGGAACGAAGCTCTATTTCAGTTGAAGTAGAGTTCGAAATCGGGAATCTACATTACTGCTATTATATTTTGATTATATAAATAGACAGTTGTGTTTTTTATTTTCTAACTTTGTAGTGTTAAACGTCGTAAATACACACGGTTGTGTCCAAATGGATTTGACTGTATAAAGTTTCATTATAATTTGTTCGTCAGTACAAAGTTAAATGCTTAAAACACATGGTAAAGTAAGCTAGCTTGCATTAAACTGTTGTCCTTAAGTCTGATATCAAAAAACAGGCTGTTTAGTCGTTTAGGCACAGATTGTAAAAACCAGTTGGGTCACCTCAACTGATCGTTATAATTGCATTAGATGAAAGGCATGTTGCTCACACGTAACCGTATATAATCGTATTGGGAAGACTAAGTATCCCTATAGGGGAATAAACTTGTATATAAATAGAGATACTGTGATTGAAATTTTGTAATCTTTTAGGCTGTAAACAGCAACGAAAAATTTGAGCACAGAATAGGAAATGTTTCTTGTTACGGATCAAGCGTTTACTTAACTACATTTTGTTCTTAAAATTGCAGGTTTATTATTGATTTCGGCCTCTTTAATATAAGACCCATTCTCGTCGATATAATATATGTACGCTCCGTCGTTTTTCTTTCATACTAAACAATATTATACAGATATATTGGAAAAGCCAAAGCCGTTAGCTAGTATAATGTAATTAAATCAAGTCCTTTCAATTATACATTTAACCTGCACTTGTTCTGCTATATTAAGCTCATATTTCAGGAATAAGCTTAAATTATCTTTTCATAATATTTTCGATATCTTGATTTACATCTTCAGTACTTTTGATTTTGTGTTTAATAACCTCTTAAACATTTATTATATATTTTTGCGACTAGCTCCATCTATGATCCGTTGCAAGAAACTACAAAAAGTTCCATGCCTTTATCGTAGATTTGCATAGAGGGTTGTTAACTGCGTAGTATTTTTGGTACGAACAAAATCTATACTGATAAGTTATTTTTAATGTATTGTTGGAAAGTGGCAGCTTTCATTATTCTTAAATTAAATTCTAATATATTTTCACAATCAATGCAAGTAAAAACATGATATATAGCGGGTAAAACTCTAGCACTAATATATTTCTATTATATTCGCTTTAAAAGGTAAACAAAACTAACACAGTTCGATTTAAGATTAGGGTCTCGTATGGTTTTGTTCAACAATAACCATTATTTACTATTAAAAAAAATGTCAATTTAACCTGTAGTAAACACACCTAGAAGTTCGACATAGAAGTGGAAATATAATATTGCTAGAGACAAGGTATCGCACAATAAAACGAAATTGTTTCCGCTTTAACAACAATCCGTCCTTTCGCTCAGACGCAATGTGCAGTAACAAATAATCTCAAGGCTTTATATTAATTTGTTTATTTCAGCAAAGGGCACAAATCATGCGCTAACAAACAGTCACTCGCAACACGAATCGATAGGACCGTCCTTTGTCGATAATGCGCGGCAGGGCTATAGTAATATAGATTCGATTTGCGAGGGTCGTTCTATCAGATCTAAATTTAAGGATCTGACGTTCTCTAAGTACATAATCAATCATAATAATTATACTCATTTAGCAGATAGTTTTCATAAGCTTTAGTATATTTATTTCGTGTTAAGATGGGTACAATATTATTTCGGTTATAGATATTAGATATAGTGATTTTTATTTATTCTGTGTAAATTTTTTATATAGATGATTTATTCGAGGCTATTATGTAAATACCTCTGTTTTAATCAATTCCTTATTTTTAGGTTCGTTATTTTGCCCTGTATGGTGGGGGTGCGTCTGATTTAGTGATAATCTTGCATTTAAAGTGCCATTAGTGAATGGCACACTGAGTGACAGTGTGGCCACTAAAACATTAAAATTGTACACACACCAACAAATGTATCAACAATGTTTTGATTTTCACTGGAAATTGATTAATAAAATGTTTCGAAATTTCTTGTAATGTTTGTAATAGAATTTGCATCCCCGGCTTTTGCGTTTTGACCTTCATACATTCAATTTGTGCAGAATTTTAAATGTATAAACTTATATAATGATAAATGATGGAAATTACATAACATCCAAAAAATTGCATCCACAGAGTGTTGTTCAAAATAAAAATATAAAACCTGAAAGAACATTACCTATAAAGAGGCTTTAGAAAGAATGAATTCCTTGGAGATATTTTTAATCTACTACTTTACTGCAGATGCTAAATCACGTACAATTATGTTGTTACTGAAAATATAGGAAGTTCAACGAATTCATGTTTTCGTTTTCATTTCTTTTAATGCAATTAATATTATTCATATGAAGATCCCTTTCTACTGTTTTGAAAAATGCCATAAGTATTTTCTTCACCTTCATAGCTTGGGGTTGCCAATTATTTCATGAAAATAATTGAAATATTACAAGTAGTGGATATACTAAGTTATATTATACGAATTTTAAGCACATTAGTGGTTTACACTCGTGTTATTGTATGCTAGTGTTGACAATATCTTTTGGAATTCCTCTATATTTTGTATACAGCCCAATATTTATTGTACAGTGTAATAAATACCATGCATGATTATCTTGACGTTTTATTTATGTAACATAGAAAAGATTCCCTGTTTCAAAACGCAAGTATGAACCAAACTACTAAACAAAAAAAATCTTAGCTTTTAAACTGTAGTTTTAAAACTACAATTTTTCGATAGAGGGCACTGTTGGCCCACAACTTGTACCAGGGTGATTTTTACATATTATACATTACAAACCCATTGAGTTAAAAATTTCACTCATAACAATGTTACCTATATATTGTTTGCAATCAGAAGAGAAGCTATAAATGAATTTATGAGAATAAGGCTTTTATATCATAATTGGTGGCTATTGGACTGTAGCACTGAGTAACTTTACTTAGTGTTGAGTAGTTACTCAGGATACTGGGCCCTGTTCGGTCGAAACTACTAAAACGGCTGTTATAAATAGTATATGTACGTACGAGTATAATACAAATTGTCGTGGTCCTTCAAGCTTTAAAAGTAAAGTTAAATGATTCGTTTATCTCGTTCTTAAGAGTATCTTTGTAGGAAACTGGCCTATTGTTCAAATGAGCTTGTTATCTAGATGCAAAAACAAAGGATAAACTAAGATGTCTAATTCGCTTAATTGACACCATCAAGTAAATGTGCTGAAATATTTCTAGTCTTAATTCACTTGTCTCCAGCCGTTAACAAAGCTGAGTGTACAGTATTAATTACTTCCATTTGTAATTCTCTCATTTCTCGCTTAGGTCTAACGAGAGAAATGTGTACCATTTTTTAGTTTGAATTATCTCTAATTTTTACTGAGCACCTCTTTCTATGTACACTTAAAATAGAGATAATTTTAAGATAATTGCTACACATCTATACTCTATATTAATATATAAAGCTTGTATGTTTGTTTGAATGCGGTACTCTCAGGAACTAATGACTCGAATTGAAAATTCTTTTTGTGATGGTTAGAGCATTTATCGAGGTAGACTATTTGTTATAAAACATCGCGCTGCCACTAATAGGAGCGAAATGACAGAGGAAGTGAAAAAAGGGGAAAATTAATTAATCTGTGAGGATTTCGTTGCGTACGCTGTGAAAATAGTTCTAAATACCCAAAAATTATGTATGAAAGAATGATTTCCCGTGAAATGATCTAAAAAAATATCCGCGTCAGTATATGTCTATCTTTTAAGATTCAGTTGTAAGAACGACGGGACGCGGACTGCGCCGTGAGTAAGGGCTAGCGCGCAGAGACGAAGACACGGTCGTTGTCTGTAAACTCTTGAGACTCAGGAGAAAAAGAAACCGAAGAGAATACTGGGTACACCCCCTTTGGAGTGACAGGTTTCTACGTGGAAAGTTCTACACTATGTATTATAAACTACGAGAACATCCTAAGGATTTTTTTAGATATTTCCGAATGAGCGCTTTGATGAATTATTACGCACTTTATGACCTGAATATTTAATAAAATACGAACATACAATTAAATACTTCTAAGATAATAATAATACTTCTATATAAGAGAACGACCGTCTCCTCTAAATCCATAGTGGCAAATGACACTTCCGATTTCGAAAAAGTTTTGTCACTGTCGCTATTCGTGCGTGCACTCCACTTTGGAAACGTGACGTGACAATGATAAAAATTTTAAA